TCTTCAGGATCTATCCATATTTCTGAGATGAGGTATTGTAATTATTTATACTATTTACATTGTTTGGACTGTTCTCCTCGTCCTTATTGACATATTCACGACGTTTCGGACGTTGTACGCTCCGGCATTCTTCAGGATCTATCCATATTTCTGAGATGAGGTATTGTAATTATTTACACTATTTACATTGTTCGGACTGTTCTCCTCGTCTTTACAGTCATATTCACGACATTTCGGACGTTGTACGCTCAGTTGTAACTCAATTGTTCGCCTCTGCTGTGGCCAGGTATTGAACTCACAACTCTTTGGGTCAATTTACTAGATTACTTCATCCAACGCTTTTATCCATTGGGCTATTTGTCCTTGGGGATTAAAGGGAATTAACTGAGATATCCAGAAAAGGCATGGCACGTGGAAATAGAACAATCTACTCCCCTCCCCCTAGACTAAAAATTTTTTTCGGTTCAAATTTCCAGCGTATATCACCTGGAGAAAGCCAGGGTGTACAACGTTACTATACCGCACCTCAGAAAACATATGCAGATTCTGAGAATATTTAGGATAGATAACGATTGACCCTAGGCTTCAAGAAGTCAAGATTGTAGTGATCGGAGAAGCATCCTCTTGGGAGTCTGATCTCCAAAGGAACAGTTCTCGGGGAAGAAGCTGTGTGGAACTTTATTTTTAGCAGTGAAATACGAAGGGAATGCGGATGATTCGACTGTGTGTACGTGGCATGGCGAGAATCTTATTTCATTTTGACAATAAGATTCAGTCTGTACAAGGCCCAAGAGCCACACAAGGTAAAGTGAGTAAGCTTTGTATCTCTTTTCACGCCATAACTTGTTTGCTTTCCTCTCGCCAGTTGACACGCATCCCAGTGCTTGGAAGGATTATGGCCGTATCACGTTGAAACACCGGTACCCGTACGATCATCGAAGATAAACTGTGATCAGTACGTGGTAAGGTGACTGCTTGGGAATACCAGGTGCTGTAAGCATGAATGTTTGGATGGTGTAATGGATAATGGCTCGGAATTGATCAAAATTACCAAGAGAACAGTGTTGCAAAGCACTTGGTAAGAGCTAAGAGAGGAGGTAAGAAATAGATCCAATTGAGAAGTATGTTGCTCGGTTTGGCTAGGGAAACAATTAGAGAAGTCCAGGAATTGAGTAAGATATTGTGCAATGGAAAAATTGAATGTCAGAACACCGGAAACATCATTACCTTTCAGAAAGTTTAAGACACGTGTCGTGGTGAGCATTTAAGTCACCGATGACAAAGATGTTCGTAGATGGATGAAGAGAAAGTGCCTTTTCTATACTGCAGTCCTGGGAAGAGGGGGAGCGATAGAGGGACATGTGATAGCTAACAGAGTTTACTAACGAAAGACGGAAGCACATGAAGGAGTAGTCTAGGACCTCGAGAGGCAATTCTCTGGTCATCGGAAGATTTTCCCGAATGTAAACACCAAGGCCATGCACGTGAATGCTGGAATCTTTACGGCAAAGGAGAAGATCGTCTGAAACCAAGAATTCAATGCTAAAAATGGAAGAATTTTAGTTTCACAGAGAACAAAGATATCTGGCAACTGTTTAATAGAGGATTGGAACGGAATATCAATAGCTAGCACAGAGTGGTCAGAGTTACCAAGAAGGCAGTGTTATGGAGCTCAGCAAGAGCAAGTAGAGTAAGAAATAAATCATGTAGAGAATCATGTTACATGGTTTTCCTTGGGAAGCGGTTTGTTTAATGGATTGGGCAATGAAAAAAATTAATGTCTAAACACCAGTAACATCAGTCTTTAGAATGTTTAAGCATTAAAGTTACCAAAGACAAAGATGTTCGCAGATGGGTGGATGGAAAGTGTCAGCTATTGTATCTAATATACTGCAGTCCTGGGAAGATGGGGAGCGATAAAGTAAAAAGAGATAGCTAACAGAGTTTAGTAACGAAAGACGGCAGCACATGAAGGATTAGTCAGGGGCCTTGAGAGATATTTCCCTGGTCATCGTAATTATCTTGGATGTAAACAGCATCTTCCCAGGACTGCAGTATATTAGACGCAGTAGCTGACACTTTCTATCTGCCCATCTGCGAAGATCTTTGTAAACAGCAAGGCCATGCATGTGAATACTGGAATCTTTACGGCAAAGAAGATAGCCTGAAACCAAGAATTCACTGGTAGCAATGGAAGAATTTAAGTTAGTTTCACAGATATCTGGAGACTGTTCCAAGAGGAATATTCTACGCAGCGGAAGTTGGAATGGATACAACGAATTTTAGTGAAAGAGAGGCTAAAATGATAGGGTAGGTGTTCTTTGTTGTTTTTGTTTTGTTTTGTTTTTTGTTTTTTTTGTTTTGTTTTTTATTTTTTTTTTTTTACTGGTTTAGTTGTATTTCTTTTTATTGTGTTTTCCATGAAATTCGTTTTGAGGAAGGAGGGAGGGAGGGAGAGAGAGAGAGAGATTGTCAATTGTCGCAATTGTCACTATCTGTCATCAATATTATTACAATCCATCCAGAAATTGGCTGAGAGCAGAGACTAGTCCGACCTCAAGATTTCCCACCGGAAATACATGCAGAGACAGTTGCCCATGCGCAACATGAAACTACAAATACCCCGCTATTATGCGACTGTTGATCGGAACAGCCTCTCTAAGCGCTACCAAAGAGTTCGGTCTCCCAACGACCAGTCGGAAGCAGCAGCCAGTAAACTGCCAATCAGGTAACCCTCACAATGAAAAGCCGAAGCTACTGGTTATTCCGATTACCAAAAAGTTAAGACAAATCATTGTGGTTCTGGTAGAAGAAAGAAATAGAACCGGTAAGCCATATCCTGAACAAGAAACTAGGGATGAACCTCTACTCCTGGTCAACAGACATGGAAGGAGTTCAGTCCGGTCAATAGGTCTTGTGTTCGTGTTGTTCTTCCTTGGTCCTAACCTGGACCATAACACTTTCCTTAAATCACTCTCTTCTGGAAGTATTGTAATAATAATAATAATAATATGGGACTTCAAAATACACACAGACAAAAAATCAAAGCTAATCTCCCAGGTATCGTTATTAAAGACCACAAAATGTGCCTCCTTATTGATATGACAGTCCCTGCAGACTGCAATGTATCTATCAAAATACAAGAACCTTGAAATCGAAATCTCAAAAATGTGGCATATGGGAACATCAACAATCCCTGTTGTAGTTGGAGCCCTCGGAATAGTTGAAAAAGATTCCAGTAGACTAATTGAAGGGATTCCTGGAAGCCCATTCCTTAAAGAAATACAAAACCTTGTTCCCACGAGTACGGCCCACACCTTACGAAGGGTGTTATTCATGTAAAAAATGTGTTCTTTTTTAAAATTGCTCAGTGGAAAATGACATGAAGCCATTTCTGTCCTTAGGTCTTTGGAGAGAAATAAGAATACACCAGAAATCAAAGAAAATAATAATAATAATAATAATAATAATAATAATAATAATAATAATAATAATAATAAAAGTAGATAGCAGATATAGATATCTCTTAAATAATATGATACAATATATGAAAGTTATAATAAAGCACGTAAGATACGAAAGGATTAAACTATGACTTAGTCTGGATGTCCACTAAACACATTTGGGGAGGGGATGACGTATGAAGTTTAATAATTAATAGCAATGGAGGGAAGAATATACAGGACAAAGAAGAAAGAGATGTGAAAACATCAAAAACAAAACAAAACAAAGAAATTGAATTTTTAAAAATTACAAACAGCAAAATGGCGCGAGGTATTGTAAGTTACTTACAAGAGACGCTTCAATTGCTTCTTTCCACCGTTTAAATTGGACATTTTTATAGACAATGCAGGCTGACTTAATTATTTCAGCGGTGCTTTGATACAATTACGGCGACTTTGAAGTGAAGTTTTTGATTTTCATCGCCGAAAGTGAGATGGATTGTGAAATTACAGTGGGGTGGGGGTGAAGGGTCAATTTTCTTAGAAATCTAACAACTTTTCTTTTTTTTTTTTTGATGGGGGCGGGCTACTATCAAAGGCATTCGAGTTTTTCCCAGATACCAAGAACAACCAATCAGCCACAAACGAATGGCAAACTTGACATTATATATATATATATATATATATATATATATATATATATATATATATATATATATATATATATATATATAGGGTACAGAGAATTGAATGAAGCAAAAGTAAAATGCAGGTTTATTAAACTTGACATTATATATATATATATATATATATATATATATATGTGTGTGTGTGTGTACAGAGAATTGAATGAAGCAAAAAGTAAAATGCAGGTTTATTAAGTTTTAACTTAGTATAAGCTCCCAATATCCACTCTCTTAGAACAACGACAAGTCAAAATTCACGTTCAGTTTACCAGTCAAGGATAGATTCCCATTAAAATGTAATATTAACAATAAATTAATGTACAAGATCGTTGTGCAGACAGGTCCGAATATATATATATATATATATATATATATATATATATATATATATATATATATATATATATATATATATATATATATATATATATATATATATATATATATATATATATATATAATGAGAAGCCACAAATACTTTCTTAATATGTATATATAGAAAAGTTGCGAATTAAAAAAATAATAATGTTTTTTTATTAAAATATTTATTTATTTATATATATAGTTGATATTTCTAAATGACGGTTCCGTATAGGATACAGGTTCGAATCCTGTTGGAGGACATATTTTCTGTGAAAATTTCTCGGACATTCAGGCCGGAAAATGTTGTTTAATAATGTTTATTATAAAACAGAGCATTAACTTAATTATTTGTATCTATAAAAAGAATTTGTAAACATAAAAATGTCTTAATATATATATATTCAGTACACTATTTCTCTATACTGATCACTAATATTGTTCAACGGCGTTACTATAGTTGCATCTGCGATTACAAAGTTTCTACTACAGCGAGCATTATGAAAATCACAACGAGTTTTCTTTGACATAGATAGATAGATAGATAGATAGATAGATAGATAGATAGATAGATAGATAGATAAAAAATATTAGCAGCAATAAAAATCTTGTCGGCATTAAATAACCCGCTGAGGTTAGTATGCCGTAAAACAAGGCAAACCAAACCAATATATACTGAGATAGATAGATAGATAGATAGATAAATAGATAGATAGATAGATAGATAGATAGATAGATAGATAGATAGATAGATAGATATGAAGAAAGACATAGATAGATAGATAGATAGATAGATAGATAGATAGATAGATAGATAGATAATAATATTAGCTGCAATAAAAATCTTGTGGGCCTTAAATAACCCGCTGATGTTGATATGCCGTAAAACAAACCAAACCAAACCATGCCATCTTGCGTCAAGGTCGGAAGGTCATGCCGGCGACATCCTGTCATTATATAGTTAGTCAATATAGGTGGTTGCTGGATGACCAAGCTGTCTTGGGTCATGGCTAGGTGTTCAAAGGAGTAGCTCACTCGCAAGTTCTTGTATTGCTCGCCTGTAAGATGTGAAAATTAGCAGAGCTAAAGCCGTGTCTGCCTTGAATAAAATGGATGTAATCTGTAAATCTAATCTAGACAACCTCAAACGGAGTTTCTTTCGCGCCGTTGAAGAATCGGTTTTAATGTATGGTGCTACTGCTTTGGACATTAACTAAAACCCTTAAATCTAAGCTCAATCGAACCGACACATCCAACTAAATCACAACTCTAGGGATTTTACGTGAATAGAGAATGTTCTTTACACGAGATGCTGTCGAACAAACCATGAAGTAAAAATCGATAAATTAGTATATCAATAATAGTAAAAGAAAAATAATGCTAGTCACAAAAAATCGATGTGTAATGTATATTTAGTCGTTCGCAAAACTACAGAATTGATTAGTGATATTTTCTTAGCAATCTCAAGATATGAATATATAAACCTATAAAATCTATTTTATATATGAACAATTTGAACTTTTTATATATGCTAGTATTTTATCTGAAAATTACAGAAAGATTTCGTTGTTTTTGCTACTTGCCGACCACAATTTTACATCTTTTCTTTTCTCTTTGTTTTTTTTGGGGGGTTTTTTTGTGTTTTTTTTTTGTGTTTTTTTTTTTTTGTTGTTTGTTTTTTTTGGTTTATCTGATTATAGAATATGGTAAATTCTGCCTTTTCGAATAGGCTACAAAATCCAAATGAATTAAAAAAAACATATCATATAGTAAACTAATTAAATTTCTTTTTTTTCTTCAGGATTTTAGAAAAGATGTTTAGCCATCTTGATACCATGTGTCGTAAGAATCACAGAAAAAAAACCCTTTGAGTTTTTCAACTAAAAAGGGAACAGATTAAAACTGTTTTGTATCAGACCCACAGTTTTCTCAAATGAGCAATGGTGTGAGGAAAAAATATCATTCAGGCCTTCAGTAATGGGACCAACATTCGTACGCTGGCTTCCATCTTCAAAATTCATTCAAGAACCATCAAGAGAACGGTGAATAAGTTTAAAATTGGGGCAACAGTAGAGAGAAAAACTGGATCAGGAAGTCACAACAGGAAGAGGATTGGCATTTCAACTTAGAGCTAAAGAGATCGATTAGAAAAGATCCAACTCCATTCACGTTTGGCACGTGAGAGAGGAGTATCACGTATGACAGTCGAAAGAGCAATGAAAAAAGACTTGAAAATGAAATCGTATGAGCAAACTGTGAAGCACCTTGTTACTCCAGGACAGAAAGTTAGAAGGTTAGAGAGAACGAAGATCATCTTGAATAAGTTTGAAAATTATCCTGAAATAATATATATATATATATATATATATATATATATATATATATATATATATATATATATATATATATATATATATATATATATATATATATATATTATGGCTGATATAGTGACACTCTTCGGTAAAGCGAATCGAGTCCTATGTGTTTATCTAAAAAAATAAATACACTTAAATTCACCTTCAACCCTTCTACCGACGGCTTAGTGGTAGAATCTCCGACTGATGCCGATTCAGTCGGGTTTCGATCTAGCAAGAGGCAACCGGACGTCTAGCCACACTAAAGAGCTGTGATACAGCGAAACAGTCTGTCTGTGGAAGACTTTATATATATATATATATATATATATATATATATATATATGAACTTTATTTCAATTCTTTATGAGCTTCTGATCCTTAGCTATGATTAATTAATGAGGAACATGTCATTTTCGCTATTATTGGTCAAAGTAGAGTCCAGTAGTGTCATGAAAACCTCGGATAATTCCAGTAAGATATCTTTAATCACTTCTAAGATTCAACGGTTCAATCCTCAATGTAACAATTGGACAATTTTGCTGTTACACGAGTTGGACACTTTTGCTGTTACACACGTAATATAACGTCAAAGTAACATAGCTGAAATTTCTGGGAAAGGACAGCTTGGGAAAATTTATTACTCACAGAAAGTATTGAGAAAAAGAGGTTTACAGGGGAAAAGCGAATAAATTGTCTCATGGGTTTATGTCAATGTTTGGTGGGTAAAGAAAAGGAGGGGGTGACTAAAGCATGAATCGTTGCTTAGAGCTACAAACGAGAGGCAGTTTTGAAAAGTCATGACCTGAACAGACACATCACATCAACGATATAATAACTTATATAAAAGAAAAGAAAAGAAAAAGAAAACGCCTGAAATAAGAAGAGAGACTTTTAAAATTCTCAGCTCAGTCCACTTCCCTTAAAATCAGAGCAAATGGACAAAAACCTGCCTTGGAAGACATTCTTCGTCGGGCCGAGAAGTTTTCAGCACTTTCTTATAGTTGCAATATAAGTGATTAAAATAACAAAACCCAGTTGTTGAAAGTGAAAAAAATGTCTCATATCATTTGCTCATCTTCGATCGCATTTAAGGAAATTTGCTCTGCGCGGGAAAAAAAAAAAATCTATTAGGAACGCAGACACGAATCTATAAACTGTAAAGTCTGGGAAGACGGATTCTCGATCGATTATCCGAGATTTTCTTTCAATCGATTATCTGAGATCTCTCTTTTCTGATAATGACTGTCGACTGCCAGCTTGATATATATTCTAGTTTAACGGTTTTCTGCAAAAGATGTGGGCATTCCTCGATATGGATCAAGCTCTATAGCAATATCCACTTGCCGTAAACTTACTTTAGATTCCCGTCTTCTTTCTATTCACTCTCTTTTTCTCCTTCTCTCCTCTCTCCTCTCTCTCTCTCTCTATATATATATATATATATATATATATATATATATATATTATCCCTCAATCGTCGCAGTCTTCGGGTGCTGGTTATGGACTGACCGTTACACAATTTGAATTTTAATATAGCTGGCTATCACAATGTTGGCGTAGTTATGTCTTATGCTGAGATTAAAGTATTTTTTAAAATTTAATTTAAAAATTATATTTACCAATTAAAATAAGCAGGAATTATATATATTTCTTGAACATGAGTAGAGGCTCACACGTTGTTTCTTGTTTAGGAAGGGGTTCCCAGAACTCTCCCTCTCTTTTTCTCTGGCTTCTGTAATAGTGCTGCCATGTTTATCCCGTGGTGTGTCCAGTCTGTGGCATCACCTCTTCATTCTGAGGGTACACGGTTAACAGTTTTCTGGTTGCTGTTTCCCACTGGTAGTTAGGAGCCCTAACTCTTGCGTAGCGTCTTGAGCGGCCACTCTGACCAACAGTTGCATAATACCCAGTAGTCTGTAGTGCCATGTCGCGTATGAATAGGTGTCCCGCATTCAGCTCCGCTGGGCAAACCTGAGGCCATATTATGTTACAGGCTGTACCAACTTCTCTCTGCCCACCTCACGGTCGATAACCGTCTGCTTCTTTTACTTCAGGCCTTCTCATTTTTACAACCACAATTTCACATGATAATTAACGACGATCCAAAAAGAAAACCTAAAAATCACCTAAACCCTTTAACATTTCATTTTCCAACATCCGTAGCATTAGAACCAATTTCTGCAGTGTGGAATCTTTCCTCATTGCGAACTGCCCGGATATACTGGCTCTGTGTGAGACCAACCTTGATTAATCTATCCCCTCCTCTGACCTCTTGATCCCCAGCTACATTCCCCTCCTTAGAAAAGACTCTCAAATCCACATGCATGGCCTTGGAGTTTACGTCAAGGACCATCTCCCGCTGGTTAGAGAGTTGTCTCTTGAATCTCCAGACCATTCGTACATGTGTCTCCGGCTATCTCTTCTCAATGTTGTAAGCTACCTCTTCTTCCTTTATCGCTCACCATCCTCCCAATACTGTGGTATAATTGAATGCATTTCTGACAGCATTGACAAGGCTCTCTCTCTCCATCCGTATGCTCACACATTCGTGTTGGGTGATTTTAACGCCCATCATACTATGTGGCTTAAAAACGCTACTACAGAACTTGCAGGCATTCAAACCCTTAATTTTTCAATTTCTCAATCCCTCACGCAGATAGTCGACTTCCTCACACGTTTTCCCTACAACCAGGACAGTAAGGCTTCTCTTATCGATCTATGTCTTACCGCCATCCCCAAGTCTTGTAGCGCCACGCAGCTCTTCCCTCTTGGCAATTCTGATCATGGTGTAGTGTCTATCAACATCTCCTTCAACTCCACCCCCTGCAAAGAACCTCCTACCACTAGAACCTCGTTCTGCTATCAACGAGCAGACTGGGACTCGTTCCGGGATTTCCTTCGCGATGTCCTCTGGGGTGTTGTCTTTACGCTCCCCGTTCAAGAATATGATTCCGAGGTCTCCTCCTGGGTTAAAGCTGAAATCGAGGCTTTCATCCCCTCAAGGAAATATAAGGTCAAATTGAGCTCCTCCCCTTGGTTCTCGGTTACTCGCTCCGCTGGAACCACTTTTTCCACCTTTATCGTAGCGACATGTCTGACTGCAATGGACGTCTATTTGTCTCTGCCTGTAGCGAGGGTAAGCGTGTCCTCAATGAATCACAGTCACTATTTGCTGCTCGAATGAAAGAACGTATTGCAACTCGCAAATTCGGCTCCAAGGGTTATTGGCGTCTCTGAAAAACTTCTATGCCTCCTTTTTTCATCCAGTTCGAGGTTCTGACCTCTTCTGCCGACAAGGCTGAATGCTTTGCTCGGAAATTCTCATTCAATTCAACGCTCGACTCTTTCGGTGTACCTACATCCGATTTCCCCCTTAGAACTGAGGCTCTACTGAGCGAGCTGTACATAACCCTGTCATCGGTATTGGACATTATCTTTAATTTAGACCCCCACAAGGCTAGTGATCGAGAT